CTCATTTTGCAGATATTATGGAGCATGGATCTAAAAACAATTTTGACATTGTTTTTTTTAATCTATTCTTGGGATGTTGCAGGTAATTTAAAGAGAATTATTGCAGATGCTGTTTCTGAAAAGTTTTTGGCTAAAAATGCAGCAAGAAAAGATTCCAGTGGTGTACATGGGTAGATGCCAGATTGAACATATGGACTGAGTAAGCCAGAGGTGTATATTCAGTTGACTGTGTGCTATACCTGGCCAGTTAAAACTCCAGACACTATCTTTAGAATAACTATTAAAAGATTTGTTGCAAATCTTTCCAAATAACTTCCATTTCTCCTCCTTACCTGCCCCTTCCTGCCCCCCACAATATACATAACAAAAACCAACGGTATTGTGACTTAACCTTTTAAGTGGTTTGATTGTGGAGGAGGGGAGGGGAATTTTAGGCATGTTGTAAGAACAAAATCTTTAGTTTATTTTTACTACTGTCATGTTTGGAATTCCTGCCACCAGAAGGGCTATTCCTTTTTCCTACAGATCTGCCCAATCCAATGCAGTCTGCTGACTCATTCATACGGGCCTGGAAAGAGGTATCCCACACCCCAGTCCTCTAAGTGAGGCATAATTGTACCTAAAGCTCCCTCTCCGAGCAAGAGATGTACAATTTGACAGTGCAACCTGCAAATTGAGCTCCTGTAGGTGGTACATATTGCAACATGCCCCATATTCCATTCCCCCAACCCTGCATTGCTTTGCTGCAATTGCCGCATGAGCTGGTTCGACGCTGCTCAAATGCTGCTTGCTTCCCCCCTCTCCTGGGGAGAGGGTTAGAGCAGCCTTGGTTCTTGCAAGCCATATAACCTTTTTCTTGGAGACGTTGCAACTACGAGATTTTATAATACAGTAATAATGAAAATGACTAACTATTGTACTTAGATTTTAGCAACTTGTGAAATAAACCCCTGACTTTCATTTGAACCAGTGTTGAAATTTGGGAGCTGTGTGGTTTTTTTAATTTTATTTTTTTATAACCTAATTTATTATCGGTTTGATTTTGGGCATTGAATAGATGACTGTTTTCTGCCCAGAAACGTGAAAAGTGGCCTAGCTGAACCTTTTATTTTTATAGTGTAGAAGATTTTGACAGCTTTCCAGTTCATGTAAAGTTTGACTTGCTAACTTTTTTGTATTTTAGGGATTCCTGTAAATGGCATTCCAGCTGTAATACTGAGGAGGGTTCTTTTTGGTTGATCTTAAATTCTGGATAGCATTGTTTTGTGTTCTATAGATATTTTGATCATTGTTTTAGGAACCAGTCAGTTACCTCTTAATTATCAAATTTAGTTACCAAATTTTGTTTACTAAAAGAAAAAAGGATTTACCAAAGTACAGCTAAGAGAATGAAAATGGGGGACTCGTTTCGGAGCACAGTAGAAGGGAGAAGGCTTATACAGTGGTCGCATCAGAAACCCTATTTGGCTCATATGTCACTTTCCCCTTTTGTAAGGGGGGGACACAGCTGTCATTTTTTTTAGAAAATATATAAATATATATATCTATATATAATGCAAAAAGACCTCAAGGAACCGCAGTAGTGTTCGTCTGCTTAAGGCAGAGTTACGCTGTATATTGCATTTAGCGAAATAACTTGCATTGTGCTTTTTTAAAAAAAAAATTTATAATCATTTAACAAAGAAACTGTAACAGAGTAACGTTACGCAAGCGCAGGGTATGTTTTTTTGTCACTCGTATTTATTGTGACTCTAAATCTTTGATAATAAAACAAAAATTAAAAAAAAATGTTCCCACTAAAGCCTGATAGTCAATTTCAATGGGAGAAGAACCTGAAATCAATAACTGTATATTGTATTGTGAGGGATTTTTAGTATTTGAATGACAATAAACAAATGGACAAACTGCTGTCTGCTTTGCTTTGCTTTTTTTAAGCTTGGTATTCAAGTCGTTCTAAATTCTTTAGAGACCTGTTTCCCCAGAGATGGGCTTGTTGCACACCACTCTGATCAAAGTCCATGGGAGTTACATGTATGCATTTGAGAGCAGACTTTGGGCTTAAATGTTTTGGAGCTGTCTAGTTCAAGATGTTACATTGCAGGTCTGGCATGGCAGTTCTACCAGTGCACTGCACTCGTCTGAGGGTTCTAAAAAGTTCATATTACTGGCTCTTTTTTTAACTACATGCAGATTTTTTTGATAGTTTTTTTCCCTCAAAAAAACATTTTATCTAAAGATAGCTACATTATAGCTCAAAGAGATCTCATCATGGAGTAGGGATTATAAATTCTACTTCTATAGTATGGGACAATATATTTATATAATGTTTAAAAAAAATTGTAAATGAGTTCCAATAGTTCATGGATTAGGGACCCAATTTTATGGGGTTCCAGGGGCTTCTGTATAGATTATTTAGGTTAATCTTTCTATCTACCCAATGGGACTCAGTGCTCAGTCTAGAAGATACCATCAGAAATGCTTCATTTTGCAGTTCTCAAACTGTGGATTTGTGTCTCCAGAGGTAACATGCTTGTTAACAGCAAAAATGTTTTTAAATAAATAATATATAGAAGTGAGAAATAACAGACCTCAACTCTATTGTCCCTCTGCAGATTTGTGTACACAGAGTCAATCCCTTACCTCTCTCTAAAAGTGCAAAGTTTCAAAAAGTTCAATGAATAGAAGATTCCTGGGGGCGGAACAGATCTGGACAAGGAGAAGAAGTCTGGAGATAAATGTGAGAAGGGAGGGACATATGCTTGTTTTGTTAAAATATTTTATGTTTGCTGTTTGAAGAAAAAAATCCAGAATACTTAATGTTGTTGTTTTTAGTTAAATAAACCAATTTAAATGTCTGTCTGGTGGTGATCTCCTCCTAGTACAGCAGGACAAGAAAATCCTCCAAATATTAATGATTAACCTGTTGAATTGGAGATAGTTCACCTCCCAATGACTTCATCAATATCTGCTTCAATTACCTTTGGTAAATGAAATAACCAAACAATCCTTCATTTTCTGATATAGCTGTAAAACTAATTTGAAAAGTTTTCAAAATCTGTTTTAAAAATGTATCGTGTGTACCTTCTAAAAATGAAACCTACGTCTATCTGAGTTGTGAAGGATGTGTATTAAGGTTATAACCAACAAGAATGCACTTTTACGTAGAAACCAGGATTAAATAGAGTCTTCCTGACTAGTGATTTAAATCAAATCCACCCTGCTGACAACTTGCAATTCTATAAGTAAAACACCTCTCTAGTCAATGCTACGTATCACTCTTTTGGATGCCTATACATGGTTTTCCCCTCACCTTCCTCTCAGTGCCTGTCTGTTTAAATTTTGATGAGACCAAACTGTGCTAATGCCATAGATGGGTGGCCTGGATAGCATTACAGCAGAACTCTTAAAAGCGGACAAAATTCCTACTTCAATTGCCCTGTCTTCCATTAATTCCCCTCACTAGCTATGCTCTTCTTTCCAATCGCTAATGGCTCCATCCATTCCCTTGCCCTCTAGGCTTCTAGACAGCTCTAACTTGGTCCTCAAGTGAGACAATAACCTTGTATGAGTTCATTACTTCCCTCTTTCACTTCTGGGAATAGTTTAAATTTTGTATTCACATTAGAAATTATAGCCTACTATTTCTTAGTATCAAAACTTTTCCAATTATGTGCTGTTTGTTTAAACACCTCAAAAAAACAAAACAAAAAAACTCAAACCATAAATCCAAAAAATAGGAAAAACGTGGGGAAAATCCCAATTTCCTGGGGGTGGGGGGAACTCTTTTACAAGTTTGAACGAGACCTGCTTCCCTGATAGGCTCCAGGGAAGCAGGTCACAAATCTCTGCTAAAAGATCTATTGCAGGCAAAGAGGTTTCTTCCCCCTCATTATGGATTTTTGACCTGATTCTTCATTCTGGCTGAGCTCAGTTCAGCCAGAAAGTGGG